GGGCAAGTGTCTAAGAGATGATGACAGGGTAGAGATGAAACTGGAGGTCCTGGAGCAGGAAAATAAAGGAGGCATTGGATGCAAATCCACAGGAAACCGAGCTGCCTTCGTTCTGCCTGCTCTGAATGATTAGTTTAAGTGGTATATATGCCAGAGGACTAGCCCCTTCCTGCCTTTGTTTCTGCCTCATACACAGAATATCCGTCTCTAGCGCCCAGCAGTCGATGACATTTGGAAATATCACAGCATGCTGGAACACTTTATATTTATGCCTCTGTTGAAAGCAAAGTTGTATCTCAAAGTCCCTAGAACCCACCATTATTTTCCAACTGCCAAAGCACGAGTTTTTGATGAGGGCAGAGTAAGTCAGCCAGCATGCTCTCCACTCCTAAGTCTAGCCAAAAGCTGCTAACACATCAGTCTTTGTCCTGTAAATCAGGGTAGACGAGGACTACAACCAATTTCCCCTCTCTCCCTCTTTTAGGAAGGACAGAGTAATCGAGGTTAGAGAAACCTGACAGTTATTAACAGGGATAAACACGATCCTCCTGACCTTAACCGCAGTTACTGAATCAGATGCATGTGCATGCCTCCGTGCGCGCACACGTGTGCGGACACCGCAGGACTCAGATTTTCCTGGCAAGCCGGCTGCTGCTGGCAGGATGATGCAGTACAACTGCTGGCACTGAGATGTCGAGCTGAGGACGAACGCAGGCCAGCGAAGTCAAAGGGAAATTAGGTTTCAACGATTCCAGTCTTAATTTTCCCCTCGAAAAGAGTCGTTCTCATCATTGTTTCCATTAACAGGCACATGTGCTCTTCACAAGTGATCTGAAGCTGTTTCTACATCCAGACATTGTATATTGGTTACGCTCTGCTTGGAGGTAGATACTGGCTTGGGTCAGTCTAAATCGGAGCTTTTTGACATGATGCGCCTGTACGTGATGAATTCTGTCATGTTTAGGAGTTAGACTGTGCGACTCAAACTTGCAGAGCACCCGGCCAACATTAACTAAACATAAAGCAATTTTTTGAAATGTAATTCTGATATTGCCAAAAACTGACTTATTTTACTGTGCTAAGGAAGAAATCTCTGTACAAGCCAAGGAGATGTTCTCATTTAGGGACAATCCCATGAGTTATTCATATTGCCAAGTCCTACTTCGGCACCTAAATAATAGCTGATTGCAAATGCTTTTGTGAGTATGGCCTTTAAATCCTAATCTCTGCCAACATACAGCTGAGGGCTATAGAAAAGCATCCCCTGACTTATTTCCTTCTTTGAAAACTGAGCCACCAGCAGTTAAAGAAAAACTGGGACTTCTGGGCAAGTTTCCAGAAGTGCAAGCTAACAACGCCTGAAGCAGCCACTGCCATATCCTACACTGAGGAATTCTTCGCCTTACAAGCTGGCTGATGTAATGGTATGCTTCATTAATATAATTTTTTGTGTGCTTACACTGCCCACAAAACCTTCCTGTGCAAACAGAATCACCAGTGCTGCCTGATAAACAAGGGGTGTTTACTTTTTAACGTTTACGGCAATTCCCAAGTGTTCTCACATCCCATCTGTACTTCTCTTCATGGAAGCGTATGTGGCTATCGTATGTACCCATCAGGTCAGATGTGGAGATGACTGCTAGGAATTATGAGGGGAGTGGCGTCTATTGGATTCTGTATTTCATGCGATAAACAGTGTGGTTAATATGAAAAACAGCTGTACATGAAGGCAGAGAGAAGAAACAGCGATGTATAGTGCCGACTGCTTATTTTGTTCTTTGATGAATCGCTAATTAACTGACTTTTCTTAACTGATTGCCAAGGGGATATGCAATGCCTCTTCCTGAAAGACATAAAACAGAGAAGGGAGATGATACAAAGGAGCACATTCCCTCTTTCAAGGACAGGTTTGAACCTGAAGTCAAAATAATGAAAGGCTGAGCTAATTGCTCAGCTTAAAGAAGAGGGGGCACGTAGCAGTCCACAGATTTTTCTAAGGAAAAAAACAATCATCTGTTTCCCATGTTCACCGTAGATAAGAGAAGTAGCAATGGACTTCATTTAAAGCATGGGAATCTTGGATGAGATGGCTGAAAAAAATCAAGGCGAGTTTACCACTGGAACAGCAATTCTCCGGAGGTTACAGAATCCTCATTATTGGAGGCGTCTAAAGGGCATGTTAGACAAGCACCTCTCAGAAAAGAAACAGGTAAATATTAATCCCAAACTTATACAAGAAGATTGATTCCCTGACTTGCAGACTTTTGTTTTTTGTTTTTTTTTTCCTTAATTTCTGATTCTGGGAGCAAGCTATAGAAGCAAAAACCAGCAAGATGTCCCGAAGTAGTGCAGACTGATGAGTCCTTCGTCACTTTCCTTCCCATTGGGTAGAATTTATCTCATTCTAAAAGTTGGTTACCAACTTTAGAGAAATACAACACAGATAAAAAACAGCCTTCCCAGGCACGTAGATACCATTTACAAAATCAAACCAGGCACTTCTAGAGCATAATTCATCTGAACTGTCTTAAACCTCTACCTTTGACCAAGTCAGTAAAACATCTACCACCTACCCCATCGATAGGTCTAATGTTTTATTTACTGGGAAGGGAACTTATTGGGATGACTCAGCTTCTCTTGATACCTTCCCTTAGCTAAGACAAATCCCAGTGTAGGTGATTGATTTTCCAATTCCAGAAACTTACCTTTTGGTGCTAGTATCAGGAGCTCTGAACCCAGACCATAAAACAAGGGCATTCTTCCTCCCTGAAAAATAATTCCCTCTTTCCCAACAGCCCTGAACACCTTGATAATTTAGTCATTTATTTTCTGTCCTTTTCTTTCCCACCTTCAATTTTGGCTTTTCTTTACTCTTTAGGCTGCAGCACCACAACTGTTACTCTCAACATCCAGCTGAAATTGGGAACTGAAGGGATGTAGCGACAGAGACTAGCACAGAGCTGCTTCACGCTGCTTTTCAGGGAAGCGGAGACAGGCTTTCCACGTCTTGCACAGTTGGACAGTACTTACTAATAATTTTAATGTTCTTAGACTAACCGTGAGGAACACACAGACACAACATGAGCACACAATTTTCTTTTCACTTGCCAAGCGAAACAAGCTAAAAGCTCCGTTGTTTTTTTTATAGTCTCTCCAAATCCTGCTCCTATCTCGGAGAGGGCTGAATGGATCCGTACCAATTGATATGTCAGCTAGTAATGGCAAGGAACCTAAACAAATTTTCTGCTTCCAAACTTCCCCAAAAATGGAAGGCAATGATGATGTGAAATTTGCAAAGAAATGAGAAACATAGTCTGGAATATTTTTTTTTCTCTTTCCTAGCTTATTACAAAAGCAAACACCAGAACAGGTCACTGAAGTTGTATTTTCAGCTACACTTTCAGCTACTTTCTTATTTCAACTCTGCATAATATGTATTTAAGCAGAAATGTTCCAGAAGGACAATGCTTACTCAAAGACATGATGATATGTCAAACAAATAAAAGCTAAGCAGAGTTGGGTTATGTCTGGATTTTGACATCACAACTCCAAAGCAGATCTATATACTAGATTTAGACAAATCTTTTATCAGTACTTCTCGAGTCAGCTCCTCAAAAAGTGTGGCAGGATTCAGTGAGCAGACACGGGGCAGCTGCAAGCGTCATCTTTTAGATAAGAGACACAACTGAGCCCAGACTACACGGTCAGCTACCTGGATCTCTGCTCTTGAAAGGCAAGGACTGCAGTGCTGGCCACATTCCCACCTGGGAAACAACCCTGCTGCCCAAGCACGTTCCCCTCACATTTCTAGTTCTTGTCCTGAAGTTGGTTAACATTACTTTTTCCTGTTTGTACATTTCGATTTATAGAAAACCACAGCAATTTCATTATTGCAAAGAGCAAATCTGGTGCACTATTTGGTTTTTATTTCCTTATTATAAGGTCTTCTAGAGAAACATGGAATGTGTTTGCATCTGTCTGTGACCAATAAAAATGCTACTGCCTTTTTCAGTAGCAAAGATACCTGCTTTTTCAGGCCCTTTCAGTACACAACGTAAGTTCTATACTAGCTCACTTCTTCTGCTCCTACACAACTCAATCCAACATTTGTCCAGATGCAGCTAAACCAAGACGCCTTCCACTTCTACACATGATGACTATGAAGTACTTGTTATAAGAAGTAATTGTTACAATTTTTTTTCTGATTCTTCAAGTCAACTTTTCTTTCAGACCTTGAATATTTTCAAAAAAAGATCAGAGGAGTTGATAGCAATGCATTAGAGACATACTCTGCACTGTGAAAGAGGAGGGGAGGAATAAAACCTTTGCTGGGTCTTGCTGTGCATAGAAATAATCTCGAGTTAAGTGGTTACTCTGTTTTCAAATGCACAATGTTAATAATTTCTTTTTCTTACTACTACCATTCACAATTTAGGCATATTCTTTATGTCGTTAGCTGCAAAACAAGCATAGTTTCCTTAGAGGATTTTGTACATCAAATAAATTACTTTATTAGTCAGTCTCTGACTAAACAGAACTCCCTGAATTTCCTGATGACTTTGTATTTGCTGCTTGTTTATCGTCCATACAGAGTTGTAATTTCCTGCATCATACTACCTGTGACACATTATCTAAATATCAATTATAAGAACTGTGAGGTTGAGAGATAAGTAGAATAAATTCAAAGACAAAATAAAGACAAAACACTAAGAAAGACCTTGTAAAATAGGAGTTTCACCAAGGAGATTACTATTTCCTATGGCATATAAAATTCAGGCTGAGATGAAGTTTTATGCCGCATGAGCAGATATTTTTCCCTTGGTACCTTTATTACTGCTTTCAGTTACCTCTCATTTTTAGTATCTGGAATTTAAAGAATAAAAACATGTATTCTTTTTCTGAAATTTATTTAGGTGATAGAGTTAGGGCTAAGCCAGCACGATACGGAAAGCTGTCCTTTTTGCGCTGGTTGTAAACATTTTTAAAATACGTTTCCTTACCACTTTCATCCAGCAAGAAGTCATCCTGGTAACGGAACTTTTCCGGTCCACATGCAATAAAAATGTCATCATCGCCAAAGAAATCCTGAAGGCACATCACCTGCAAGCAAAAAGGAAAGGAAGGCATTGTATGAAATACCTCATCATCGGAATTGTAAAAACAATAAATCCCTCCTTGTTTCCATCTGCATGAAAATTCTTCACTTTTAATGGAATCAACAGGGCTTCATCTCCAGATACATTTCAAAGCTGTGCTCTGACCATCTGTTACAAGTGAGAAACACTTTTATGGACACTGCAGGAAAAGAGAGATAAGGCAAAATGCCCTAACTGTCACATTTATTGCACGATGCATCAGTGGGGTATGAGGTAAATGCCTTTTGTTTACGCACAGGGTACCATTCAGCTGTTAGTGGATAATTAATTTGCTTCTGAGCCCACACTTCTACTCTTTGACAGCCATGAAATTAGGTAACAGTTTCGTATGCAGAATTAAATGTAGTTATTTCAGCAAAATCTTCCTGACCAGGAATGAAACTCCTATGGGTGAACTGAGTCTCCATCATACATTCCTCATCTCTGCCAGCAGAGTCCCTGTAAAACCTCTTCATAGGCACCAATCTGAATAATCAGATGAGCTGGGAATTCTTCTCGTACAGAATAAAAGGATAACTAACCTCTATCAACTCCCAGATGCAAGCAGCAGGATTAGGTTGGTGCAGTTTTATGACCATACTTGAGATATCGTTATAACAACTTTTAATTTGCAAGGCGCTACTTAAAAAGTTTAATATTTCTTTACTGATGTTCTTAAAAGAACAATCAGTAATGTTCTCCAAACCTGCCTTTGGACTTACCAAATATCAAAAACAAATTAAATATCTGACCATTTAAAAAAAAAAAAAAGAAAGAAAAAGAAAGATACTTTGTGAGCAGCATTATATACTCTGTCCTTGTTTCACATTTATAAGAAAATTTTAGTGGGTTATGTTTGCTTATTTTTATATAATGCCTTGCAATTAAATAGCACATTAATGTTTGAACAGGTAATATTTCACGGTTTCACACCAACTGAATTCAGACAGGAAAGTTACACATAAAGCATTTATAAAAATTGACAAAAGAGTTGAAAACAGTCCAATTGAAGGAGAGCACCCCCCTCATGAAAAGCAGGGAAAAAGTCAGCATTTTAAAGCCTATGAACAGAGAAGTGCAAGATTTAGCTAGTGAGGCTAGCCAGGGTCCTGCAGACCTCAGCATAAAAGCAAACACACACCACCAGCTGCCCCAACCTGCAGCGATCGGCATCGATGGGGTCTGAAACTCCTCTTGTGCTTTCCAAAAGCACAGCAGAAGGCTTCGGCACCTACAGCAGTTGTGAGGCTCTGTGCTCGAAAAGTCTCCAGGAAGAAAAACAGTGCTCCACGTCGTGACTGGCTTGCAAAGTATAATTTGTCATTAAAACTATGTTAAAGGTGGAGGAATAGCAGCTGAAAAATGAGGAAATCAAGTGAAGAACTAGCTGAAGTAAATACAGGGTACTCTCAAAAGACAAAGGTACTCTCGAAATTGCTCTGTCCTGGAGCAATGCACATAATTTTCGATTCAGGTCTACCACAGCCCCGTTCCTATCAACATCCTCATATTAACAACACCACACAGCACCTGAGCACCAACATCAAATATGTAAATATTTCATGCAGCTTTTTTCCATGTTCCTACTCAGTTTATGTTCTATTAGTGTATCAGCCTCAGCAACCTTTTTATAAACTCACTGAGTTTCCATCTTTTTTTTTGTCCACAAGACATATCCTGCCTATCTTCCCACCCCATCCACCCACCAAGCTTCAAACATCTCTTTCCCTTCAGTCAAGTTCCTCTGAAATTGCCACCTCTCCCACATCGTGCACAAACCCACTAATTTTCAGGATGGCATTAAAAAAAATCCTGTGATTTCCTGTGTGCATCCCAAGTTTGACACAATTCTGGGGAGCGATGACCTTCAACATGCAACACCAAGCAGAGCATCAGAACCAAACAAATGCCCAGCGACCCTATGCACAAAGTTGAGCTATTTTGACAACGTGCATTAATTAAAATTAAATTCCTATTTGAATAAAAAAATTGTTCGGGTTTTATAAAACTACAACAAAACAACAACAAAAAATTTGGCTCTGGGTAGTTACAAGGGTTTCACTCAAGCCAAAACAAGACATTAAAATGGCCATAGTGAGACCTATGCAGGTTCAACCAAGCCAAAATTTAAAGCATCTAAGGTTAAGTGCATGCAATTTAGATGTAAATAAGAAAATAAAAGAATATTTTGTACTTAAATATACTTGTTTTATTTCATCAAACTTTATTTTTTCAATCATTTTTCTTGCCTCCCAAGATTTTAATAATTTGTGAATGACAATTCTAGCACCTATAAAGTTTACAGCAAGACCCTTCAGAAGTATCTTCTCTTCCAGCTCCGGTACCTTTATTTTATTTTATTTTTGATTTTATACTATTTAATTTAAGCCTTGCCACTTCCTTCATTGTCTACTTCCTCCTCTGTAGCCTTTTCCATCCTTTGTGTCTCAACGTCCAAGGCCTGCTCAGCTCCCCAGCTCCAGTCCCTCGCGGGTTACATTGCAGGGTTTTTCCAGAAGGCATCGAACAAACACACAGCACCCGCTTTCAGGCCTTTTCACAAGAAATCTGCAAGCACTTTCTACTCACACTCAGTCATCAGCTAAGCAGCAGGACCTGCTTTTTATTACCCGTTTTCACTTCTGGAGAAAACAGCTCCTCAAAAGTTACGGTTTAGGAGATCAAGGATCTGCATCACCTGTTTTGAACTGTGACAGTGCTCAAGAGGTCAGTGTGCTCTGTTGCACGTAGCCAGTTTTTAACAAGCTATGTTTCCAAGGCCTCCCCCAGCATTTTTGTTGTTTCCAGCTCTCACAATCCTTCCTCTCCCTTTTCAGATTTTTCTTCCGTATTCCAGCAGGACGTTTCTCACAGCAAGGGAAACAAAGCCTGTGCAGGAGCAGTCAGACATACAACTTTGGTAAAACAAAACTGGAAAAATAAATGTTTTCCTCTACACACCTGGTGCTAAGTGTACACTTGGACACAAACAAGTTGCTGGCAGAGAGGTAAAATTTAAAGTTAGTGGTGTCTCTTTAGGGGAACGCATCGATAACACTAATACCAAGGGACAAGAAGTCTCAGGCATTAGGATCCTTTGCCTGAGTGACAAGAGAGAAGACAAAGAGCCACAAGGAAAACTGGTCACTAGTAGAGGCACTGGGCAGTACTCAAGTCATACAAAGTCTTGCTGAGCTCTACACAGCAGATGCAAAATAGCAGAGAGGCAGAAGTTGTCATGCCTACACTTACCTGAGCAAAGTTTTACAGGCTGAAGCCTGAATCCTTCTCAAATCCCCATCTTTCTTGTCCCAGTAAACAATTTAGGAATCCCATGTGCCCCTTCAGAGGGAAACATGGGAAGAACCCCATATGATTTTTTTATTATTTTTTTTTTTTTATCTCAGGTCAGTCTGGTGCTTTCACTAGGGGACACAGGGACCAACAGGAGCAGGCTCAGCACTGGCTTTGCACCACGGCATGGGAACTGGAGGCACCTTTAAAATTACCTTCACTTCTCTTTCTTTCTTTTTCTCTCCCTCAGACAGGGGTGTACCTGGATCCAATGAGGAATCTCCTAATTATTATGGAGCCGTTTGTTATCCCTTAACACACCCGAAGCATTTAAGGTCTTAATATTCACCTCTTTGAAGTTGGTAACTGTATTATGGAACCACCCTTTCCTGTATCTGCAGAAAGATGTAAGGAATTATGCTTTACATTTAGGAGCACAGATGACCCAAGAATAAAGAACAGCAGCTTGCAGAGGCACTGGCTGGCAGTTAACAGTGCCAGGAAGGAGCTGCAGAAAAAGGGAGACAGGGAGAGGGAGAAGGCGGAGGGAAGGAAGGACGGAGGGAGTGAATCAAGCCTTTTTCTAAAAGCATTAAGCAAGTTCAGATAAATAACAGATGAAATCACCTCCTATAATAGCTGGATTCTGGTTATAGCGAGGCCAGGAACCTCTCTGAATTCACGTTTTAAACCACACAAAACCAGAACAGGCCTCTTTGCATTTGTCTCCTCAGCGACAGCGCCCTGACTGCTTTCCCACTGTTTTAAAGTTGACCGTGTATCACGTTAATAGTGACTGAAAATTTTAATAAAAAAAGAATCAAATAACTTGAATGATCCTCTAGCTCACAGCTCAAGCAACAGCATAACGCCACCAGTGTTACTTGCTCTATGTTTTTATTACACTTTTCATATGCTGCGTTTTGGGGAGGAAAAGAGCGCTCAGTGTGTTTGTCTTCTTTCAACAACAACAACTTAATTAGACCTTGAATTAGACTCTGTTTTGGATGAGCAATGAGAAGATCTCAAGCTGGGGTGCCCTAAGGCAACGTGGTTAATGGAGAGCTGGAAAGCAAAACTGAGGACAAAAAAATAAGGGAGAAAACAAAAAAGATGCACAACGATACAAAGAGCACTCAATAAGTGGGTATAGCAGTCTTCTGGAAAGAAAGAGAAATGAGGGATGGCAAAAGGAAAATGTGAGGCACAAAGGCAGGGAAGTGAGTGTAAGAAGAGCCGTAGGCTGCAAGGCAGGAGCGTGTTCAGAGGGTGACAGACACAGAGAAACTCACGTGGCAAGACACCCGAAGGTGGGGAACTCAGAGCAGCCCCACAGACAATCCTCTTGGCAGCCAGTTGGGAAGTTTTAATGAAATTGTTAGGTACCTTTTTGTACCTGAGACAATGCCATGTTAAGTTCAATTATAATTTCCCTTGCTGTGAAGTAGACATTAGAAAAAAGTTATCCCTGGAAAAACCTCACTGTTTAAATGATTCATCATTTTAGGACTCTGACTCATGAATTTGGTGCTCAGTTTTGTAAGTTCATGGAGGGTTGGTAGGTTGTGGGTTTTTTTTTCCTGTTACTTTTGATTCACTCAGATTTGATGTTTTATTCCTGGCAGGTCTCTTTAGCTCTAAGGAGCTCTCTATATCTCTGTTCTACTCTTA